ATAAAAAAAAAAAAAAAAGTTACTTCCGGAGTTTCCCTTAGGCAAGGAAGTTGTTATGTTTCTTCCTCGAGTTTGGAAATACAAACATTGAGCACACTTCCATGGCTAATCTCATTTAAACTTCCACTTTGGGGACGCCTATTATTATGTGTGGGGAACAGAGATTTCGGGGCTTAAGTTACTTTTTTTATTTTTTAAATATATCTTTATTGATTTCAGAGAGAGGAAGGGAGAGGGAGAGAAGAGATAGAAACGTCAATGATGAGAGTCATTGATCAGTTGCCTCCTGCACGCCCCCTGCTGGGGATCGAGCCCGAAACCCGGGCCTGTGCCCTGACCGGGAATCGAACCCCGATCGCCTGGATCCTAGGCCGATGCTCAACCGCTGAGCCACGCCCGGCCCGGCTGGCTTTTCATTTTTAGCCACTTCATTTGCAGTTATTTCCTTCCTCATATCTTCTAGTGTATCACCTGACTGTACTATTTATACATGTATAAGTATAAGAAATATACATATTTCCTGTAGTAGAGTTCTGGATATTTCTCTGCAAGCGGGAGGAGGGTACAAAAGGCACAACAGGTACCAAAGTTTACAAATATTAGCTCATATTTTGCCTTGCAACTGTTTTGCACGTTCTGTTTCTCCAGCCTATGTTCCAGCCCCCTCTCCCACTTAAGCAAAAACACTTTCCAGGCTTTTAGTTTCTGCCATCAATCTACAGATTCATGGTTCTAAAATGACAAAGGCCATCCCTTCATCTAAGGTTACTAACCTTGCTCTAGGATAAAGTCATAAACTTAGCCCACTGCCTTAAATTTACCTAACATCTGTGCTGTATAGACTACACCTTAAAGAACTTAACATATCTTTTTTTTAAAAAATATATCTTTACTGATTTCAGAGGCAAGAAGGGAGGGAGAGAGGGAGAGAAACATCAGTGATGAGTCATGGATCGGCCGCCTCCTGCAGGCCCCCGACTGGGCATCGAGCCCACAACCCGGGCCTGTGCCCTGACCGGGAATCGAACCCCGATCGCCTGGATCCTAGGTCGATGCTCAACTGCTGAGCCACGCCCAGCCGGGCAGAACTTAAAATATCTTAAGTAAAGTTGTACCCATTGAGGAATACTTGAAGATGCTCCGATGATATAGTTAAAGGTAAAACTCGAGTCATCTGGAAACCAACCTTTGACAAAAAGCTGGTAAGCTGCCTCAATTATTCACTGAGCCCTAAAAAGGAAGGAATAAATTGCAGGCCTGTTTGTTTGTTTGTTTTTGTTTGTTTGAGTGACTGCTTTCGGGAGGGAAAAATGGGTAATGGAAGTTGAGGATTTGCCAAAAAAAAAAAAAAAAAAAAAAAAAAAAA